ATGAGTTGTTTGGCCAGCCCCTTAATTCTACCAATCTGAAAGCTGTAACCCTTGTGAGCACGGCATGGTACTAATCTTAGCCACCAGACAACAACTTTCTCCAAGAGATCTCTGTACGCCAGGCTCCATATCTGGAGCTAGCAATGACAGGCTGGACAGGAGGGTTATTCAGAGCACTGGACCTGACTTGAGGAATCATCCCAGTGGCTGAGACTCAAATCCGAGACAGCCACGGCAGCCAGTTAAGTGCATGCATAGCTCCACCTGTTTTCACTTACTCTTAGCTTGTTTAAGTGGAGTTTGGGGATTTTGGCTTATTTCATTGTCTAGTTTCCTCCTTAGATAAGGCATGAAAAGGACCAATTTTTATTGGCTCACTTGCTTTTTCTTAATCTGGAAATTTTAATTTCATCAAAGTTAAGAATCAAAAGATTCTTTTGTCCAGGTCTTATATCCAGAACAAAATGTTCTCAGAACCTCATATATTTTATTATTTATTTATTTTTATGTATGTAGTACAGGGTCTATAGTGTCTCACTACACAGATCAGACTCCTAGTGATCCTCCTGTTTTCAGCCACCCAAGTGCTGGGATTACAGCTATGCGCCACCACGCCCAGTCTCAGTTGCCATCTCAGCACACCCCGGGGTGAGGCCAGCACAGCCCAAGAGGGATCGAACCCCGGTCCCTGCATCTGCCCAACCAGGCCCTTCAGTATGCTGCGCTATCTGTCTGGCCCGTGAACCTCATATATTTTGAATGAAAACCTATTTACAAGCCCCAGTGTAGTCTGTATGACTCTTCGTCTCTCAGGCTATCACAGCTGTGAGAGGCAGCAACACACTGGTTTCCTATTTTCTATATCATGCCGAGTAAAAAGTTGAAGCAGAACTCTGGAAGATGCTCCGTGGACCACTCTGGTGGACAGTGTGCATCTGCAGAGCATGCATGCACCTCAGACACGGGGACGCCAACGTTGTGGCTGCCTGTCTCTCTCAGCCCCACCACCAACCTCCAGAATCAAGTCCACAACTTCACCTGCGTCCTTTGTCATCTAGCTGTCCGCAAGCAGGGGCTTACTGTAGGCACGCAGAGCTGTGCTGGCTTCTGCAGACATGGGCATCTGCCCCGCGGGAGCCCAGCTCCAACTTAGGGAGGAAAACGTGCATGGCTGATTCTAACTCGGGGAAGACACTAGAATGCACGTGGTGTTCCAGCACTGAATGCTGAGGAAGAATGACTAGTGTCCTGATTCAAAGAAGATGAGTCATTCCATGTGGCAGAAACCAGACAAGAAGGAACGAGAGGCAGTATAGGGCATAAGGAATACTATATCTCACAATAAAAAGTTGATCTTTGTATAGATGGTAGAGAGAGGAAGTGAAATTTTAGATCAGCATCGGAAAGCTCAATGTGTGTCCCATCAAACTTAATAGATATTCTCTGATAATGATGAACTAAATCAGTGGGGTCACTATAAAGAGGGGCCGGCACAGCCACAGGAGAAATTTTAGGGTGAAGGAAATGCTGTTTCCAGGATGCCGCGGAGATAGGCACCTCCTTCTAACCCATGACACTATGCATTTCGCACCGTAAACCTTGCTTTGTTTACTTGCTTTGTTTACTTTTGCTGTAAACAAAGTAGTAAATAATAGGAGATGGGGCAAGGGACTTGGGAAAAGTTGTGTTGACAGCAAAGTAAAAGTCAGCGGACCAAAGGAAATGACACGTTGGGGCCGAGGAGATGGCTCAGTGGGATAAGCACTTGCCTGGCAAGCGCAAGGGCCTGAGTTCAATCCCAGTTCCACCAAAAAAAAAGGAAAGGAAAGGACATATAAACACTATTCTCCAGACACCAGACAATACCGTTGCTTCTAGCAGTAGTGCAGGTGAACAGTTGTGAAGCCATTATAAACGTGTTTGGAAGACGACGGAATAAGTACGTGTGTGGCAGATGACGACGGAATAAGTACGTGTGTAGCAGATAACGACGGAATAAGTACGTGTGTGGCAGATGGAGAGAGCCAGGTTGCTCACCGCTAGCCGAGGAAGTTTTGGGTAAACAAGAAAATAAGGTGAGAACGAACTCTGTGCTACTGAATGCGAGTCGGAGACCTGAGTGTGGCCTTGCGTTTAGCTTAATATGGATGCAGAGGGAAGCAGAAACGTTTACTGGCAGGTGGAGACACGTTGGGCGGTGTACATAAATATGTCCTCTGTTGCATCTGCTACAAGAGCTAGGAAGCAGCTCGGATGCCAAGAGGACAGGCAGGCTGCTTTGCTTTGCCAATCATGTGACTAGAGCCCTTCCAAATGTTTGGTGTGAGAGCTCTTGAGATAAATCACCTCCAACCATCCCAAGACCTTGTTAAATGAGATTCCTGAAAGAGGCATTAAATGCCACTAAGTCCAAACTATGAGGAGAACTTACTTCTTTTTTTCTTTGGTGGCTGGCTCAGCCCACCCTGGGGGTGCGGCTGGCACAGCCTAGGGTACCAGGGATTGAACCACTCCATCCCTGTGTGCTTGCCTAAGCAGGCACTGTAGACTGCTGAGCTCTCTCACTGGCCCCAAGAACTTACATGTGTCTTGAACTGACCAACAAGAAAAATATTGTGCCCATTTGTGTTCATAATGAAATGGTCCAGCAATGAGGCTTGGGTAAGCGGTTAAGGATGTCCACTTAGTGTGGAACTAGCGTTTACAAGCTCAGCCACCGGTCAGATTTTTCAGTGCTTCAAGTAACAAATTTCACTGCCTTAAACTATTCCTTGGTCACTTCCAAGTCCTGTCTTGGATTGAAGTCTGCTAGAACTCACAGCCTGCAAGAGACCCAAGGGGGAAAAGGCCTGGGCTCCTCAGATACCACAGAGGAGAAGCATGGAACGTTGAGGACCTGGCTATGCCGCA